TTGTAAATGAGTCCCTTCCCTCCTTAGCTCCCTAATTCAAAAAACACTTACAGTAATAAGTGTTCATTAAAACCCAGCTAGACAAAGCCTGGGCTGGGATGATAAAATTGAGAAAGGTTCTGCTTTGAGCAGGGGCTTGGACTAGAATCCTTTGCCTCCCACCCAGAGCCCCTGCCCCCCAGCCCTGCTGCCCTGTACCCCCCGTTGCTGCCAGCATGGAGTTGATGCAGGAGCTGTGGAGCCCAGCACCGCTGTTTGCAGCCTGCCCACTGCTTGCTGCAGCTGCTCAGAGCCCAGGCTGGCTACAAACAGCCACGCTGGGCTCTGGAGTACAGTCACCAGCTCTGTGCCATGAGCAGAGGAGAGACCAGGGTTACGCTGCCTCAGGCCCCTCCCCCACTGCCTGCTCCAAGGTGTGCGTGCACGCCTGGGCTCCAGAGCCTGGCACAGCTGTTTGCAGCCTCCCAGCTGCAGTCGGCCTCAGCTCTGGGTAGCTGCTTCCGACAGGCAACTGGGATGCTGCAAGCCCTGCCGGGAGCAGCCGCTGGCAGCAAATACCCAGAGCCAGGGCTGGCTGTAGTGTGCCGAGCAAAATGGCCTCGCGTGCCATGCTCGGCATGTGTGCTGGGGGTTGCTGACCCCTGGACTAGATGATATCCTGAGATCCTGTCCAACCCTAATTTTCTATGGTTCTATAATATGAGTAACATCTGTCTGGCTTTTTTCCCTTTTGTTTTTCCTCACCAGACATCCCTTGGGCCTAATTTGATTCTATGATGTGGACAGATAGGCTAATGCAACTGCAGGAGAATGAGAGGGGAAGGAGAGCTAGGGGTAGGGATAGAGAACTGTAGTAGAACGTGTACTTCAAAATAACTCATTTGTATGTTTCCTTGTCTGTATTGTCTATTCAGACAGTCAGGTCATTCAGGTACCATGCTTTTCTTTGTACAGTATATATCACATTTTAGGTGAGATAATTAATATGAGAAATGATTTGGGGAATTATAAGAAGAAAAGAAAGTGCATATAATAATAAAGAGGGAAGGATTTTTGTGGGTGTTACTTTATTGGACCAGCTTAATGGTTGGGAGAGTTTCAAACAAGCTTTTAGATTCAAGACACCCTTCTTAAGGTCTGAAAAAATCAGGCACAGCTTGACCTAGTCCATATATATAATAAAATGCTTCTGTTGCCATACAGCAGTAGCATGCCTTTCAAATCCTGCTCAAATGTATGGTTGCTCTGTTTGTGTGCATATTTCTGTGCAGTCCACTTTAATGTAAATGTAAAGGTAAATATAAATCTACCCTTTAACTTTCATAAAGGATAAATTACCTGAATAGCTTGTAAGGGAGCAATATATTATTAATCAGGTATTATTTTGAAATGGTCCTCCTTGAACTGGTTCAGTGTGATTTATGGATGCGAAGCTTTCTGTAACTAATATCTGGTTAGTCTTTCACCACTCTTAACTCCCACATTTCACTGCTCTTAACTCCCACGCCCCCCACTCCCCCTTCCTAACTCATACAGGGAAACTAGTTACTCTAGTATGCATCTGTGCTGTCTCAAGCTGATTTCGGTTGTGGGGGCAAGGGGTGGTCAGGTACGTAAAAGTCAGGTGTGCAAAAAGGTTGCTTCTGGGTTCCAAGGGTGCTGGGTGCTCTCAGGGTTGCCCAGTGTCTGCAGCTTTTAAACAGCAGTGTCCCCCAAGATACTTATCAGTTTAATTCCATTCATGACAATTGATGTGGAGACCCGGAGCATCCGGCACCCCAGGACCCCAGAAGCAGGTTACCCCCTCTGCCCACCTAATCCCCCCACCCCAAATCTTCCTGGGATGCTCCAAAGCTTTGTTAGTTCCCATGAATAGAATGAAATTTATAAGTGGCTTGGGAGGAAAATGCTGTTTAAAAGTGGTTGGGACTGCACAGCCCACAGAATACCCAGCTCCCCAGGGGTCCAGGCACCCTCCAACCTGCCACCCCTACACAAAGTTGTCTTAAAACAGAGACCTTGAGCAGCCCTTGGAGCACCCAGCCCCCAGGAAAGAAGAAGCAGGGGTCCAGGTAGCCCCACAACCAGCTAGCCACCTCTTCACCCGCAACTCAGATTATGATGCACAGAATGAACTAGGGCAGAGGTTCCCAAACTTTGTCTTATTGTGTACCCCTTCCAGATTAACCAGCTGCCCTTGTACCCCTACCAGCATACGTTTTATATTTTATCCCCTTAAATGCCAATTATTATTATTATAATGAAAATTAAATCCACAGTTGTACAGTTTCTCCTGCGTAACCTCCAAAAAAGTCTTGTGTGTTTCCAGGGGCAAGTGTATCACAATTTGGGAACCCCTGTAGTAGGGTACATTGCCAGGAATTGAAGTAAATTCAGGGGTGTGGCTTGGAACGAAGGAACCCAGAAGCAGGGG